GAAGGAATCTTCTCTGGACACTATTCTGTAAATTGTTCACATTTTCTCTAACTGGTTTGGCTACTTGAGTGCAGCATGGGATGGAGCAGATTGACATTCCACATATGGCCTGAATGTTCTATATCCTACTGCTCTGCAACTTTCCCACTCATACTAAGGATTAGAAATCAATTGGACAGCAGTATTTCTGATTGTACTTAAACGTCAGGCTTTGTGAATCTTAATGTGACTGTAAAGAGCCATGGAGACATATTGTCAGCTTTACTTTTTTCTGTTATTCCACTTAGCAATGATTAAGATCCATTCCATGAGATACAGATGATAATTTCCCATCTTTTATCACAGCATGAAATTTCTATTTAGGGCTCTTTTGTCCAGTTCATCTTTATTTCACACAGAATAACTGAGAAGACCTCATAATTTGCTTTTAACATCAAAATGATTGTCAGCCTTAAAAAAAAAATATATATATAGAAGAGAGAAAACTGAAGGAAGTAATCAACTCATAATCTTTTTCTATGAATGTTACACTGCTGTGAAAAGGACTGAACTTTCTTAATGCTTCGTTTTTAACAGAAAGCATGACAAAAAGTTCCTATCAGTATTTAAACTGCTAAGATTTGTCAAACACAAAGGGGAAAATTGTGTTTAAATAGCAGTTTCATTTTGTCCCTAATGATTATGGGAGGTTTTTTTTTTCTTTTTGCAAAGAGGACCTCGGCAATTATAGATCATCTCTTTACTGAGTGACAGGAATTCTTTACTGTGCCTGGTGATTTCAGGTAGAGCAAAGGCCAAACTCTCTCTGTGTTGCCAATAAACAGTGTGAGTACCATCAGCCTCTAGATCACAGCACACAGTGTGAGGCTCACACCTCCCACCCTGCTCTGCCCTGGGACTTCTTACCTTGCAGCTCTGGGTGTCAGGCAGCAGTGCCACATTGTCCCCTCAGTGCCCTGAGTGCTGGCAAAGGTGGCTGCCCTGCCTGGTGACCTGTGCTGGCACCACAGGGGCTCCTCCTGTCACCCCACAATCTGTGACTTTGGGCATTGGCCAGAGCATGTGACGGTGCCCTGGTTTTGCACCCATTGCCTCGTGTTAGACAATAATAGCTTGCTTACTCTTTATTTTTTTAAATGTATCAACTGACGTAACAATAACAACAACAATATTGAAAACTACTTCTCCCTGAAAACTTTTTAATAGAAAGATACAGCAGACAAGTGAGTCAAAATAAGATATCCAAATTGCACCTGAGAGACAGAAGGATGGGGAGCTGATGGGTCATCTTTTCCTGACAACAAGAAACATCAAGAAACAGCTGCTGCTGAAATGAAATATTGGTTGGAACTGGCCAAGAGCCAAACACCCACACAGCCTCTCGCTCATTCCACTCTTCTGTGGGCTGGGAAGAAAAGAAGGAAGACAAAACTAATGGATTGATATAATGATAGCTAATGGTTGCTTGGCATGACAAATGCCAAATTATCTCCCCCTTCCCCTCTCCCAAAATTTTCACTGCTGAGCACAGTGTCCTGTGGCAAGAGATCCTCCCTCCATCAACTGAAGACCCCTGTCCTGGCTCTGTCCCCTCTCAGCCTCTTGCTCACCTCCTGCTTACTTGCTGGGGGTAGGGATAGAAGAGAGAGAGAGACAGAGAAAGTATTGACACTTTACAAGCACAGTCCAGCAATAGCCAAAATGTTGGTGTTATCAACTGTGTATTAGCCACTAATGCAAAACAAGATGCAGCTTCTGAGCTGATGGCATGTGTTTGACATGGTGTTATCCAGAACGTCTTTTCCACAGGTGAGCTGATACTCTTAATTTACCATGTGTGAATTCGTCATATTTTCAGAGAAATCAGCAGATCTACAGTAGAGAGTCAATGTGCAGTAAAGCCTAGGTCCTCATATAAATCTTATGCTACAATAACAAGCATACTTATTGTTCTACTTGAAGATAGTCTCTGGATTATAGCTTGCTGTATGTGGAAGATTTGAATGCACTGTCTTACTAGTTAAACAATTTTTCTTAGAATTGATCAAACAATTTTTGATAGAACAATCTTCTCTGAATGTTTCAACAAAATTAGAATATGTTAGAGGACTGGCAGATCTCAAATACATTATAACATTATACATGATAACTATTAAATAATTTTCTTAAATGCTTCAATCTTTTGAAACATTTAGTTCAAGATCAGTTATGTAAGGTTTTTAGTTATAATTATATTCAATTATTGTATTACATCAGATAAGATCACATCAGCTGGTATCTAGTGTGGTAAATTGCTCCTGCCTAGGCCAGTATTTTCAAGATTATCTTGATGTCTGCTAATCAAATGTTTTGAAAACTTACCTTCACAAAAAAGCATGGAGATTTTAATTGTCATCACGATTCAGAGCAAAGCATTTCTAAATGCTTTGGACTGCCTGTTTCACTGACTAGAAATTTATTACTGCAGAACATTCTCAGTCTGTCAATAACATAATTTTCCACATTTTTTTTTCTTTCTTACACATTGGAATTTGCCCCGGGTGTTACAGCATAAGTCAATTACAGTGGCCAAATGTAACTCTCTTTGGTTTCCCTGGGAAATTGAAATGACAGAAAAAATGTCAGAGTTCAGAAAAAGAAAACCAATCTAGCACACTTCTTTTTTGTCTGTAGACATCTTGCATTATCTTAACAGCAGTTATCACAGAAACCCATTGTGCTTTTTACCAGCTTTGCCTGAAAATTGTACAAGCACAGATAAATCTGCTTCTAGTCAGGATGACATTAAATTGAAATGAAGGTAAAAACAAATCAGTTTTTGTCACTTATGGTGCTGAATGCAACAAGACATTTCCAGATTTGTTTTTGTTGATGTCATTAGTAAATTGTTTGCAGAGATCTAAGTCAGTTTCTGCCAAATTTTTTGTTAAAAACACAGGGAATTGGTACTCATTTGATTGCTTGATGTGGAAAACCTGCCTGTGCCATCCTTGAAAAGTGTGTGTTGAGCTCCTTGCTACTTCTGGGAATGATGGTGGAGAAGAGGCCACAAATCTACAACTTTAGTACAGAGAATAATGACACAAATGGCAGATGATTCATCTTGCCTTGGTTGGCTGAGATTCTTGTGCTGGAAAGAACTCAAATCTTCCTGGAGAATATACTAAGATAAGGCTGTTTCTAGCATTGCATCTTCTGTGAATCACCTTATATCTGCAAGTTTCTTTTCTGGGTTCCACAAAACCAGTGAGATATTGACAAATTGGATGGCTGACAGATTGAACAAATTCACCAGAGGGAATTCAGAATTGAAAAAGAAGCCTTGAGGGAAATAGTTTGTGAGTGTAAGTAAAATTATACTTTGTCTTAATGCTGACTAAGATGAAATACAAAACACAAATTTGTAAAATCCCACTAAGGCCATGGGACCCACCAAAAGAAACAAACAGCATAAGGTCATTTTCAGCCCTTCCCTAAAGGAGAGACACAGCTCTAACTGCACAGAAAGGCTAAGAAAGTCTGGGAGTGTCCTTTTCCTTTCCTAGCACTGCATGCACTCAGCAGCCATGACTTTGGGAATTATGACTCCTTCCAGTGGCTGTTCTTCTCATATACTGTGGGTCTTTAATCTGCTTCTTTGGACATGCATAAATAAGGCTGCAGTGGCTCAATCATGCTTTATTAAGCTGGTCAAGACCTGGGCTAAAGAATGTAGGAGTAGTTCTTTGACAAAGTAGGATGGGATGAAATCCCTACAGGCATTTCTTACAATTCTTACACAGAGTAAGTGTAACCTCCCCTGTGCTCTCCCCCTAAATGTGGTTAGAGCAACAGTTCTTGGCTCCTGGAGCTTAGTTTCTTATAAAAAGTATATTTAAACATTCTTCCTTGTGCTTTTACTTGGAAAGAGCTCCTCTAAATAAACTATAGCACTTTGTTTAAATCTGATGAGAGCCACACTCAAGCAATCTGACAATGACAAGGCAGCTGGTATGCTGGGTCTAGTGTGCATCTTTCACATCCCAAAGTCAATCACACCTCCTTTTTATTTTCCTTCGTACTGAATATGATTACTTATTCTTTTCACATCAGAAAGGAGATGCTCAGCACAGAAATCTTGTCTGCTTTTAGGCTCTGTGGTTGGAAAAGATCCATCAGAAAATCCTGTCTCCATCCTGCTGTCTTGCAATATTCACAACTGTCCCTATTGAATCTAGCTAATGTAATTGTTGAAAGGAGTGAGACAAGCCTGGATGAATTATATATGCCTTTCCCCTCCAAGCTTATCCTCTCCTTTCTGTACTGGACCCACTGCTCCATGTGTCGGAGTGAGAATGAAGTTTATGGAAGTGTCTCCACTGCTGACATACTCATAAATACTGAGGTGCCCCAGCTGAGGGGTGCTTGCAAAGAAAGACCATCTATGCAACCATTTCATCAAAGCACTAAAGATTTCCACATGGTATGTGTCAATCAGTTAAGTCTTAACAGGAGTGAATAGCAAATTTTGGCATTGCTATATAAGTATCTCCCATGGCTAGAGAAGAGCAGAACTAAAATTACACATACTCTGGGTTTGTTTCTATTGACTGGAAAGCACATTTGTTTCTGTTGCCAGTCTAAAACAAATTTTATGGTCGTCTTGTACAACAAGAACTTGCTGTTTCCACACCTAAGAAAGTAATTAATAAATATTACTTTTATTGATAAGTAGTTCTCTCCCCCATCTGTAAGGAAATGAAAAATCAGAGAAGGCTGCATTTTGTCCTGTAAACAAAGAAACGTAGCAACATATTTACAAATAAATATTCAACTCTATTGCCAATATTTTTTTGTGTGAACTTACTTAAGGTGTAAATATTTAATGCTTCTTTTCACTGCATTATTATTAATTTTTCTGTGTAGGAGTAAAGTCATCCTTCAGTATTGTGAACCAGGTAAATAATGTATTACTTAGTCATGAAAAATGCCAGAGGAAAATAAATGAGAGAATATCTTACCTTTGGTCATCACAATGCCTGCAAGAGTTTTGTGGCGTGCATGCATGGAAGTGAAATTGTCTGTCAGCTCCTGGAATTTCTGTGCAACCATTTGGTATACGGAGTCAGCAAAATCCTGAAAGAGACAGTCAGAAATAATTTTTTTCACTTCTTTGATTGAGGAACCTGGATATTTCTGCAGATTAGTCACCTGATGTCAGCTGCTGAGAGGTCCACTTTAGAATTAAACACCACCTATCTGAGCAAAGATAAAACGAGTATCCCTCCTTCGACTTCCTACATCACCCTCAGAAATGGCAAAATTAATTGCATGAAAGCTAAGAGACCCATATTAACTAGGACTGGACGTGAAGGGAGAAGAGTTAGAGGCTGAACCTTTTTCCAGGCTCTTAAGACATTGGTCCAGCACCAGCTCACAGGAACTTAATGCACTTTATTATAATAAGCTAAAAATGTGTAGGACCTGTGTCCTACAAAACCAGTCATTTCTGTGAGCCAGCTGAAAATTTCCATTAGCCCACTGAAGACTGAGAGCTGAGTTGAGGCCTGGTTTATCAGTAAAAACCACCTATTTCTGCATTCAAAGTGAGTTTTTAATGACTCACAGCTACTAAGGCAAAGCAATCAGCTCAGGAATCTGTCAGAGGAGAACCATGATCTGTCCTGTTTCCATCTTGACAGGCACTGGGATGGTGGGGAAGTTTTGCTTGCACAACCTGCCAAAGATGCTGCTTGCAGTTCACGTGTGTGCAGTAGTCTGGGAGGGACTGGTCTGCTGTGTCTCCTCCTGAGCATGGAATCTTTTTGAAAGGTCAAATTTTCCCATGGACTGGGCACTGGAGAGTGTGTGGTCTGAACTCTCAGTCCAACCACCAGGGAGAGTCTTGGGAAGCTGGTTACTAAAACAGAACAGGTTAAAAAGATCTAAAAAGTGAATTCTGTAGACTCTGCATGGATGAGCATGAACCTAAACCAGCTCTGGTGCTCCTGAGAACACCACGACTTGGAACGATTCCCTGCTGCAATGTTTGGTATCTTTTCATTTACTTAATCTCTGCACTTTGTTTTGCACCGAGCCTCTCAAGCATACACTAGAGATAAGTCAGCGGAACACTCTGTGAGCATGAGTTGTTCTTAAAGTGCTTTGCAAATCTGAACATAAAAAAGTAACATCCAAAGGATTTTTTTTTTTCTTTTCAGACATATGATTTCTTGTAGAGAACCAAGCTGTAACTACAAATCCTTCTGGAAGCAGCTCCTGCGAGCTGGAGCTTACTCTGGGGTGCTGACAGAGACCTCCTGGTGTCCTGAAATCTGGCTAGCCCCAAGTCACTGTGCCTTTGCTGGGAAAAGTGGCTCAACCAAACAACAATTCAATTTTTTTTTCTGATGTTGGGATATGCTACCTGGGGGAGGTCCTGGTAAAACAGGCCCCCTTTAATTCACCTGGTTTCATTGTGTTCATGGATCACATGAAGGAGAGCCTGAGTCTGAAACACAACTTCCCTCACCCTGAAATATCCACAGCCATGTGGAAATAAGGATATGTATTTAAGAAGATCATATTTATTCTTTTCCTCCCCAAACTGTTAGTGGCAATGAAACAAGGTTGGTATAAAACACTGTTTTAAATTGGGAGAACACACAGCTATTTTTCAGAGTAAAGCAGGTTCTAACTCATAAATATCAGTAATGCTACTGCCATTAAGTGCCTCTGCAGGCTGTACACCATATGTTTCTACATTTTGTTGTGGAAATTAAGCTTAATTTAAAAACATTATTATGGCAAATATAAAAAAAATCTAATTAAATTAAACATAATAACACTTAGGCAAATCCCTTTTCATAAGACCTGGAATATTTTTTTTTTCTGTGCACAATCCCTGTAAGTGATTGCAATTTGCTCAAATACATAGAGGATAGGATTTCATTGACACAGTAATTTTTCTTTGTTTCTCTAAACCTAGCTTTCCAAGGTACTGTTCTGGGAACAAATCATTTGCCCAGAATACAGTTTAATATAACACTGAATAAAATATGCTGTCTTGTTGCAGAAGAAGAAAAGAGGCATATAAAGCCTTTCTGGGAGATGCATGCAAAATTCCACACTAGAATTAGATGAAAAATAAGAAAAATTATCAAGAACTGTTTGACAGTTCCTAAATGGAATTTCACTTTCACTACATTTATACCTCTTCTAATCTAATTGTCCACAATCACCATGTGAGCAAGGTACTGCTCATACAGTGCTTCTGAAGGATAAATTTTGGGTCAATTCTCATTTGTCAAGCATCAAGGCACCCTTGTGATATAAATGCAATTATAGTCGCTTTACAGATGAATGAGTGAAGGCACTAAAAGGGTGAGGGACTGGTTCAGGGGAATAGCACAGAGCTGGGCACAGCCAGGTGTTCTGATTTCCTGATGCTCTGGTTAAGTGCTCAGTGCTGGAACACTGCCTGTCTTTCATAATGTGAAAGTTTGTTTCTCAACTTGTTTTCCCTGCTGAAGAGTGACTTCATCCATAATGGAAAACTAAAGTGTATTTGCAGAACTGATATAACTGGGCCCCATATGGTGGACTGAAAATCTGATCAGCTTTATTTAGACTAGAAAGACAGGGGGGGGTTGGGGGGGGGGAGAGTATCTCAGTAAAAATATCTGCACCATCACTTAAAAAAGAATCAAATCATAAATTACATCTGCTCCAGTACTGCAGTCCAATCCATGTCTGCATTTCTAGTGTACCCTCCAAATCTGCATCCCAGGGCATTTTGTGCTCATTAAGAGTTAATTAGCTCAGAGGCACATACAATTCCTAAAAGAATAATTTTAAAAATGCTAAACAGAACAAATAACTTTTAACTTTGGATTTAGAAATTCCCCACAGTCAGAGCTTTCTTTACTTCATTTGGCAGTAGGTTCCAAAGCCAGAGAGCAAAGAGACTCACTAAAGGCGAAATAACGACATGACTTCAGATAACATTTAAGGGCGATAAGAAATTCGGCATTTGCTGATCTCAAGGAATGACCTGGGACATTAAAGAGCAGCAAATCCATTAAATATGAAGCCTCTTAGCTAAAATAAGTCAGGCAAACATTTTTTTGTCATGATTCCATTGCGTAAAAGGATGCCAGTGAAACTAAGGAAGCAAAGGCGTAACAAGATGAATACATGCAGGATGCTGGAAAAACAACTAGGAAGAGTATCTAATCTGAAAGGTCATTTCCAGTGTATCATATTGCCCTAAATTTCCAAAAGGATATTCCAAAGTAAAATGGAAAGGAGGAAAAGGAGCAGATTATTTTTTCAGATGGAGAAAAATAAGGAAGAGGTGCATGGTTTGATTTGCAATGAATCTTCTTTGATGAAGAGATTTGATATCCTGAAGATTGCTCCTTGTAGTGCAGCATTAATTTCAGGGCTTTGAATACTCTGGCCCTGTAAGCTGGCCCAGTGGCTGAGCTGGGTGTGGCACTGGGCTCCTCACCTGCACCCATCCATGCAGCACCATCCTTCCCCCTAGCACACACCAGAGCAGCTATTTGGTGTGACCTAGTTCTGTGAAATGAAATCAGTGGCAGCATTTCTGCTTATTTAGAGCCTTTAGACTGGTTCTCAATGCTTCTTAGGAAGCCTTAACTGGTTACAGACATATCTAATGCACACAGGACAGATATGGTGGAGATAAGAGTGGCTACATTTACCCCTGCTCAGTTTAGAACCACAGATTTCATTCCAGATATTTTCTAGCTTTACTTTTAAACAATAATCCTAGACTACTAAAAGTTATTTATCCAGATGGTTATTCCTGAGGGGATATAAACCAGAAAAATACAACTATTTATGGCTATTGTGAGTCTTGTTGAACATTTAGGATCCAGGCTAGACTATATTACCTGCCATCAAAAGTAACTTATAAACCATATGCAAAAGGAACGGTTCTTTTCTTCTATCAAAACAATCTCAGAGAAAAGTTGTGTTTGGTGATACCACAGTTCCTGCTGCCAGAAATGAGTGAAAATAAAAGTCTCCATCTGGAGTAAATACAAGAGCCAAATACATCTTGGCAGCTACTGAACAGCTATCAGGTTGTTAGAAGGAAAAGGGAAAATTTCCGAAGATGAAGGAAAAATATGAGTAGAAACTTACATTGTGAAAGAGAAATTCAGTGCAATTAATAGAGGCACAAGCAATTGCTCTTGATCACATAATGGCAGAGAAATTGCAGCTTGGGGCAGAGGGATAGGGGTGACAAAAATCAAAAGATATGGACAGTGAGAAATTAGAATTTTTTTTCCTATATACATGGGAGAATAAATGCTCAAATGCTTCTTGAGTGCTGAACCTCAGAGGGGACTTATGCCTCGAGGTTTAATCCCCTTGGAACACTGGGGTCTGGTACAAACCACCACTGAAGCCAGTGGAAGGATTCCCGACTCTCAGATGTTCCAGACAAGGTTCAAGTGACAGGGATGGGAGCTCAAACCATGGCCAGGCAGGGTGAGCTCCTGGCTTTGGGTGGATGTTGGGAGTAAAAAACATGACTCAGGGGAAGAACTGACCTTCAGGGTGCCGAGTTTTTTTAAAATCCCCTGATTTGATTTGCCTGCTATCAAAATATTTTCATAGGTCCTCACATATATTCTTCTGTACAAAAAATAATTGTTTCAGAGACAAATCTCAGTCTTGTGGATATAATGAGTGATACAAGTAAGGTAAAGAAGACTGCTTGACCCCCATCCAGGGGCAAATCTGCCTTAGGTTGCACTCAAACCTTGAACATTGCCTAAATGCCCTCTGCCTCTGAAGGAAACAAATTTCTTGCTCTGGCAGCTGGCAGAAGAAAGAAAACATAATGCTGAATTGTTCACTGAGAGATCCTACAGTACTTAATGAGCTGTATTTTAACTTATACAAGGAGTCTGGAAAGATGAAAAATAGATGTCATTACTATTAAAATGGCACTGTTTTGTCTGAAGTATTCATCTGTCCTTGATTACTATATCAGATTACTTGTGTTATTCACAAAGGAAAATCAAACTTTAGACCACACCATTACAGAACCAAAAACTTTCAGGGATTTCTCGGCACTAATATTTCAAATGGTATAA